TTTTTCTTCACTTTCTAAAATGAAAATATAGCCACAATGTTGATTTCAATGAAATATAGTCATTTCTGCCACGAAATGAGGGGCGAAACCAGAAAATTAGTTGAGAGGGGGCAAAAGGCATGACATAATGGATTCAGAACCGATACTCGAATTGGTAACATTTCGGTAACCGAAATCGGTTACCGTTACAAATAAGTCGGTTCGGTTCGATTTATTTTTTTAATCGGTTCGGTTTGATTCGATTATCGGTTTTCGGTCAAAAAATATCAGCCCTAGCCTGGGCAATAAAAGAGAGTTGAAATTTTTTTATGGACTAATTAAAATTGTAGAAAGATAATAATTAATATACAAAATTAATAGTAAAAATATAGAAGAACTGTTTAATTGTTAATTGAAAATTGTGGACAAGTTGTCCTGGTGAGTGACGTTTAATAAAAAATAAGAGGGTGCAAAAATAAATTTACAGGAGGGAAATTAAAATTTGTAATATTAATAGCAAAAAAGTTAAAATTTGAGGGGGGACAATTGCCCCCCTTCATTACATGTAGCTTCGTCCCTGACGAAATGACACAATTACTCTTACTACTTACTACCATAAAGAGTTTATGCGATATATGGAACTCCAGATATCATTTCTAGGCCGTTTCTCATTAATGGAGTCACAGATTCCACGTAAGTTTCTGATAGTAAGGATAATTGTGTCATTTACACGACAAACTGGCTATATTTTAAACTTCCCCCAAAAATGGCTATATTTCATCTTTATAAAAAATGGATAAGGCTATTTACCCCGTCAGTTGCCAAGACCACGAATTCGTCTCGTTCATTGAGCTTTCGATAAGTGACTTCGGGTGTCGAGATGAGGCCAAAGTCCTTGAGACAGAAATCTCCGAAAGCTCGGGCCATGGCTAGGCCCGGACAGTCCTCATTAGGCATCCATACTCTGTATACATTCGGCTCCTCGTCCATGGCAAGAACACGGCCTTCACAACTTCTTATTCTTTCTGCTTCGCCTGTAATTACGGTTTCCCAAAAAAAAAAAAAAAACAAAGATTAGGCTATCCATATGATATAACCACAATGTACCAAGATTTCTTTCAAGTGAAAACCTTAAACATGTCTAACAGATGAAAGAAAGAAAGAAGACACTAACTCGGAAGATTCGGTTTGAGGTCCACTGTAAGCTGCTCGGAAACCAGCCGATTACTATCGTCCCTCTTGCCAAGAACCGCTCGAGAATCTCCTAAGTTTGCAATTATTAAGTGCTCCCCCTAAAAAAAAAAAGAAAAAAAGTAAAGAAATTAACAAACAGAGAGATTCTGTCCAAAAAAATGTATGTTTAGTTTCTATTTATAGAAAGTATCTATCTACCTTTCGAAGTGATAGAAAACTGTATTTAACTTTATTCGAAATAAATCGATATTAATCCCAAGAGC